CCAGATTAAATAAATCACCCTTCTTTGGTGTTCCACCTTGGACAAACACAATCCTATCAGGCCTGACCTACCGTTTCTGACTATATTAGCTTAAATCTCTAACTACAACCATGCTCCTTGGTTGAACTCAGGATCCTTATAAGGCTGCAGACTCAGAAGGTCAGTCTGCTGCCCAGAGGCTTCCTGTGCCAGCTCCAGACCTGGGGAGGAAGGGATGAGGTGTCAGCAGGGGGAAAAGAAATCTGAACGTTCCTCTCCTCCTCCCTCTGACCCTAGATAAGCCAACAACTGAAAAACTGAAAGCCCAGCATAGTCTGTATGTCAAGAGTTTCCCATTTAAGCCTGATTTGTCCGGAGTGCCCCTGGTTGCCGTTCAGCCAGGAGGGTCTCCCTGGGCGGACCCTGGCAGGGATTTGCCCTTGTCTGAGGGTCTCTCCCCAGGCATGGTGTGTCATCAGGAGGCTGCTGGCTCTGAAAGGAAAGCACCAAAGTGAACAGTAACACCAGCCAGGGAAGCAGGGCTCCTTACATAACAGAAACCTTTTCTCTCTGTCCCCCAGGAGGTTGTGGAGTAGCTACAAGTGCTTGACCTAATCAGAAAGAGTTTTTTGGCATCCTCATTGGAAGTGATTACACCTTGAGCGTTAGGAGGTGGATTGAGATTTCAAAAGGCAAATTCAGGTTTAATATCAAAGCACACAGTTCCAGTTCCAGGGTGAGAGACTGATCTCTGGGCTGGTGCCTGCTAAGTCAATCAAGTTGCTCTGAATTCTCCCTGCTGTCTGTGAGATCACAGTTTCTTGTAAATGTTTTTTACTAATCGGTCTGGCAAAATCCAAAGATTTCCCGTGTCTTTCTTTGATGCTCGGAATACTCAGTTCATGAACTGTTTGTTAAAAATAATGGAAATGGAATTTGTTAGGAATAGATGTTTTGTTTAGTGAGTAAAAAAATCCATACGGATTTGTATTTAATTTATCTGTTATGACATTTTCCTGTGATACAGTGTTATGACTGAATTCCAGAAATGAAATTTCTGAAGAGACAGTTTCATGTTTAGGTCTAAAATAATTTTGATGCCATTTTGCAGTTGCTCACCTGTACTGTTTCTGTCACTGTAACAAAAATTGTAATGTGCCTTTCCTCTTCATTTATTTACATAAGGCATTTATTAGGTCCAGTCTCCGTGATTGAATTTAACACCAGAGGCAGAAAATTAGCAATATGCAAAGCCTTAGCAACCCAATGGTGCACCGTACCATTTTCCTCATTTTTTTAGAAACATTTAATATTGTTGGATGTATTAAAAATCTTCTGTAATATAGGCAAATGATTTAAAATGGCTGAGTTACTAGCGCACTAAAAAAGTTTGCGTGAAAACAACAGGAAAATTTCTGTGGGGTGAGGATATCCCTCCCTATTTTTTAATCTCTTGGCTTTTGTGTAGGATATCTGTTATGCAATTTTTTGACCATGGGCCACGTCCACTGTTAATATTGATGCAGGAGGAAGACCGCCAGTGTGTCAGCTGAATCTGCTGCAGTGTGTACCTGGTATAAACAAAGTTATGAAAAACTGAGCATGGGAAGCTCGTGATTCTGTTGACCCTTTCAAAAGGCAATATATAGCATCCCTTAGAAATCATGAGAAGTAATCAGAGGAATGTGTTACAAATCTGGTATTTAAATTCAGACCATCATTTGGCTGTGCGTGCTGCTGGTTGAGATTGAAGACCCTGGTATTAATAGCGAACTGCAGTAAAACCTTGGAGATATTTTACTGACTTTTCAGGGAAATCCTGAAAATGTATTGGAAAATAAATTAGATGTAAATAATTAGAATAAAAAAATGTCAGACCTTTTAGTTGGATTGGGCTTGTGACACAGCAGAATATTGTTTTCATCTTTGCCTGCTATTTTCAATGCCTTTTTTCCCCAAAATACTCTTTGAGTTGAAACAGCATATACATTTTCTGTTAAGAAGTAAATGTGTCTGGAGATAACCTGTTTTGATGTTGGTTCACTTGGTATGTTGAAATTACAAGAGTGTATAAATAGTGTTTTTAATCAGCTGAGACTTTGTGCATTAAAATAATCCTGAGTGAGTTAAGGATAAAGTGTCCCCCTGAAGTAAGCTGCTGGAGAAATGAGCTTGTAGTTGCACCTGGCTTAAGAATGGCACAGGACAGGGCACATTGCAGTGTTTGTGGGGTACCTGCTTAAAATACACTTCACAGAAGTGAACTCAGTGAATTCAGTGGGAGACACCTCACTTAACTGGGAGGAAATGTGTGGGAGAAGAGCGAGACTGGCTTCTGTTTCCCCAGATGAACCAAGATCCCTGGGGACTGCAATGCCCTCTCTCTTCAGGTGTCACAAAGCACCTTGCAGAGAAGAAACTTGATCGATGGCTATGAGGGACATGGTTTCAGGTGCTTGAAGTTTCTTCCGGATGATGACTGATTAGGGAGCTCGGATGCTGAACACAAGCGCTGGCATCCTTGTTGGGCCCAGCAGCTACTCTTTAGGATGCCTAAATTATGAGCTTCGAATGTGAGTCCCAACATTTAGTGTGTGAAGAATTTTAAGGCTCTGCGTGGGTGCAGCCTGTGGCTAGGGAAGTGACTTTCTAATGAAATGGGTTATACCATGACTGTTCATAAAAGAATATTATGCACTTTTCTCTGAGGCATCTATTAACGGGTAGGAGGCGGATGAATTGCGTGTTTGATTTATTGGAGCACTCTCCATATTTTTATGTTTCTCCACACAGTTCCACAGGTTGTTCTTCCCATGTTAGTAAGAAAAAGCATACAGACTTTTATCAGCTTAACAGTGAAATGTTAACAGTAATTACAGCACTTTGAGTGTAAAGTATTACAATAATTCTTTTTAATAACATGTTTATTAGGTCATAACACCAACTATAAACATGAGTACCATTCAGCTCTTTGCAGATATATGAACTTACTAACATCAAATCTTTACCAGAATCACGTATTCTTACAGGTGTCCCAGACACAACATTAACTTTATTAAGCAAAAGTTCGTAAATAGTAAAAATGTCCTCTGTTTCACATTGCAGCATTCCTCAAGCATGTATGTACAAGTTTGGAGTATCATCTTCTCCAAATCTATGTGTCATAATCTTCCTTAGCTGTTTTAACAACCATAGAGATGATTTTTTTTTTGCCTGCAGCAAAGCCTTTTGTCCTTGAGCAATCTACAATTAGTTTTGCTCTCAGCAGACATGAAAGTTCATTTCTGAAATGAAAGTGGTGATGAAACACAATACATTATCTGCTTATAGTTTTCCTACACACTCTGCCCTCATTATAAATCTTTCAGTTATAACACTGTCTCCCAAGAACAATACATCTCCCTTATATCAGTTCTTTACCTGCACTACCTCTCTTTGAAGATCTTAAAATGGCTGGCTTGCAGCAACAGAGATATTGTGCTTAGGGTGGAGTGTGTTTACAGTCAGTTCTTTTCCTTTTTAATATTTACACAGTATTTTTTTAAGGTTGCTACGATTTATGAATCATGTACGTTGACACACATTTTCTGAAATGTTCACAGTGCAGTATTTTGTGGCCTAACCAAACTTTGTAAATGTCATTAAAAATAAATTTTTATTTTAATATAAAAATAGAATACTTTATGTGTTTACACCAACAAACCCAGTTCTATCCTATACTAAACAAGCTATACAGTAGTATGCACAGAATTCCACAGGAACAGAAATGACATGTGATGCTTGCCCTATAGCTATAGTACTCTTCTCTAATGAATGGAAGTTTTATTTTCCTATCACTTTTCAAAATTGTTTCTCTGGTCATAATTTAGAAATAAAAGCAGGTGTCACAATTCATTGGGTTGTGTGATCCAAGAAGAGGGTAGGGGGGCCTAAAGCTGTTTCTTCTTTTGATTGGTCTTCTCCGCTCTTTAGGGCTGGCACAAAGAAGTTATGGACATT